TTTTTTTTTTTTTTTTTTTTTTTTTTTTTTTTTTTTTTTTTTTTTTTGAGCTTTGAAGAAGTCATTTTGTGATCTAGATATAACACTCTCAGTTTTCATTCTTTTGTGCATGTAAGGGGACAAAAAGAGAGCTGGAAATATCTCAGTGGATAGAATGCTTGCCTAGCATGCAAAAGCTTAAATCCCTAACACAGCTTTAAAGCATGATGGCACACAACTGTAACGTGAACCCTGGGTGCTTGAGGCAGGATGAACAGAAATTCAAAGTCATCCTTTGCTAAAGAGCAAGTTCTAAGCCAGCCTAGGCTACGTATGTCCCTGTCTACAAACAAATATTGGACTTAACATCTTGGACATTAGTTCGAGCTGGGAAAATTTGAAGTTTACATTATTTCATCCTTAATAATTTCTGTCAGTTATTGGGTTGAGATGTGTTAAAACTAACATCATGTTGAATTTTCTGTTGTCTTCTGTCTTTTTGTTAAGCTTAATTATTTACTGTTTAATTTTAGTTTTTAAGGACAATTTCATACCATACACACACACACACACACACACACACACGAGAAAAAGCAATAATGACCAATCATATTGCAACAGTTAACATGGGGAATGTACTGACTGGCCTTACTTACCTCATTATTCCTTCTACCCCAACTGTCAGCCTCTGCTTCCCAGAGGATTTTAAGGTAAACCCTAGACATTATTGCTGTTTTGTACATTTGGTTGTTTATATTTAGTTATACAGTGATGGATCACTGCTCATGTTTGCACCTCTGCACATAAGGACACAGTTTTATTCTGTCTGAAATGTAAGCATTACAGAATTCCTTCTCAAGTGTATGCCTTTGAGTGGTGCATTCTTTCTCATTTTTTGTTTAAATTAAAAAATATATTTATTTCTGTGTACATCTGTGTTTATGTGCACATGTGTGTGCTGGTGCCCCCCAAAGGCCTGAAGGTGTTGGGGTCTCTGGAACTACAGTGTAAGTGGCAGTGAGCCACCTGATGCGGGTTCTGGGTGCTGAACCTGGGTCCCCTACAAAGGCAGTCATCACTCTTAATTGCTATGCTGTCTCTCCAGCCTCTTTAAAATGATTTCATTTTGTGAAAAACATTACTGTTCAACTCAAGTTGACAATTATTCCTGTTTCCTTCCTTCCTTCCTTCCTTCCTTCCTTCCTTCCTTCCTTCCTTCCTCCCTCCCTCCCTCCCTCCCTCCCTCCCTCCCTCCTTCCTTCCTTCCTTCCTTCCTCTCCCTCCCTCCCTCCCTCTCTAGATTGTACTTCAGTGTCCTTTGGTTCCTCTTGTTGCTGTTAAAACTAAACAGAAGTCTAATGACTGTTTCTCCCCCCCCCCCCAAGCTGGGGTTTAGAGCCCTGGCTGTCTGAAACTCAATTTGCAAACCACTGACCTCAAACTTGCATAGGTCCGCCTGCCTCAGCTTTCCCCTAAGTGCTAGATTTAAAAGGCATGCACCACCACTCCTAGCTTATTAACTGCTTTTAAATGTTATCTTTGCTGGGGGGGGGGTGTTCCACAGTTTGGCTGTGTGTTAAGTGTGTCAGAACCATTAGATAATAATGATTTCTCGTTTTTAACTTTGCATGTCTTTGAACATTCCTAAATGACAATGTTATGTAGACAGTCAAAGTTGATTTGTTTTGTTTTGTGGACAGGGTTTCATTACATAGCTCTGGCTGGCCTGGTGCTCACAGAGATCTGCCTGCCTTGATGCCCAAGTGCTGGGATTCGAGGTGCCACCACGCACAGCAAGCAGGCTTGTATTTAAAGAGACATTATGGAGCCAGAATCCGGGCCTTGTGCCTGTAATCTCAGCACTGGGAAACTAAAGCAGACTGGAAACTTCAAAGCTTGGGCCACATAATTCTAGGTCAGCCCCAACTGCAAAGCAAGATTCTGTCTAAACAAAGAGAAAAAGAAAAAGAAAAAAAAAAACCTCCCCCCTCCACACCTGGAAAAAAAAGAAAGGAAAGGAGGGGGAGGCCATGTTAAATCTTTTGTGGTTTCTCTGCTTTGCGTTTCTTCTGGAGCTCTTATGCCTGTGTCCTGGTGAAAGCAGGTACAGTATCTTTTCTCTGTCTTTCCACAGCATTACTGGAAATAATTATGAAGAATGGAAGCACCGCTGGAAATAGCACACATTGCCGAAAACCCCCAGGTAGTGGGGAGCAGAGCAAGCCTAGCTGCGCGAAGGACGGCACCCCGGGCAGTGGCGAAGGCGGAAAAGTCTATACCAAAGACCAAGTAGAAGGAGTTCTCAGGTAGGAGCACGTGCGCTTACGGCATCTCCGTGATCATTGTTGCTGGCCTGACCGAACTGCTGGTACAGTGCCTAAAAAGGGTGTTTGAAGCACAGTTTAAGAGAAGGGAAATTGTCTGGCACGATGGCTCGCACCTGTAATCCCAGCGCTTGGGAGGCAGAGGCAGGCGGATCTCTATGAGTTCAAGGCTACTCACCAGCGTGAATCCAGAACAGCGAAGGCTACACAGACAAACCAGTCCCAAAAAAAGGGGGTGGATGGACGGGTTACCGGGGCGTGTCCTGTGCTTCATAGTCTTTGTGAAGTCACCCTGTAGGGCGTTAACTTCTGGAAGGCTCCTTTTTTATGTTGGCTATAAGTCACAGCAGGTTTTTGGAGTAATTGCTGGACAGTAATGGTTTCAGCTTTGATTCTATGTATTGTTTGGACTATCGTCCTGAAAGAGAATGAGTTGCAGTGTTGTACCATACAGTTGAAAACAGGAGCATTTCGTAGAAGGAAAACTGAGAGGAAGGGCAGCAGTGTTTTAAATTTCCCGAGTAAAGATATTTTTTTTATATTTTTATATTAATTACAGGTTATTTACTTTGTAACCCAGCTATAGCCCCCTCCCTCATTTCCTCCCAGTCCCACCCTCCCTTCCTCATTTTCTCCTAAGCGGCAGACACTGTATTCAAAGTTTATCTTCCCCTCTCCTTTTCTCCTATTTCATTTTCCTGTTGTTTTGATTGGATGAGTTCTGTGAATCTATACAGGGTTACTATATATATTCCCCCTGTCACATTTTCTATGATGCATATACATTAAAAATCTACTTTCAGTACTTTATGATTTTTACTTTTTTATTTTCTTTATTTTTATTAATTAGTTTATTTACTTTGTATCCCAGCTGTAGCCCCTCCCTCATTTCCTCCCAATCCCACCCTCCCTCCCTCATTTCCTCCCTGCCCCTCTCTAAGTCCACTGATAAGGGAGGTCGTCCTCCCCTTCCATCTGACCCTAGTTTATCAGGTCTCATCAGAACTGGCTGCAATGTCCTCCTCTGTGGCCTGTCAAGACTGCTCCTCCCTAGGGGTGGGGGGGGTGAGGTCAAAGAGCCAGCCACTGAGTTCATGTCAGAGACAGTCCCTGTTCCCCTTACTAGGGTACCCACTTGGATACTGAGCTGCCATGGGCTACATCTGAGCAGGGGTTCTAGGTTATAGCCATGCATTGTTCTTAGTTGGAGAATCAGTCTCAGAACCAGGCACCAGGCCACCTACACCTGTGGAGCACAGTTGTGGCTCCCCAGGACTTCCCAGCAGGCACCTGGACCAGCCTCCCAGTTCCTCCCGCATTTGCCTCAGCAGGTGCAAACCTTGGAGTAGAGAACCGGGGGAACCTTTCCCCTTGCTTTACTATTTGACCTGCTCGAGAGTGAGTGCACCCTCAAGTGCCTACAGAGCCCCAGGTCCAGGGCGCTACTAGGCTAGCAGCCAGACATCAGATCCCCTTTCCTTTTTTGAACGCTACCTTTGGATGGAGACACCACAGTGTAGAGACAAGCTCACTTTGCTTGTCTTGCTCAGTGATTCTCTGTGTCTTGGCAGCCTCTCCATATACTCCTCCATTATTCAGAGTTGGTGGAGTTGAGTGGCAACTAACTTGGTTTTAGAAATACAGCTTTACTATTTTTTTTTAAAATAAGAAAGAGTTTTCTTGAAAAAAAAAAAAAAGGCTAAACTCTTAGTTATGAAGTGCCTCAAAACAGGTTGTTTGTTTCCAATGGAAGTTAAGGAAAGTGTGCTGCTGTGGCTCTTCTGGGCAGCTGAAGTTTACCAGTGATGCGCTCTGAGCATGACTAATCAGAGCTCTCCTGGACTGAAGGAGCAACAGAAAAGAATAGTTAAAGCAGCAGAGCAGGGCTTTGGCTCTTATCCTTTAGTCTCTTCTTTTCCTCATCCTTTCCCCTTTTGTTTCCTTGAAGTAATTATATGACATTTACCTTAAGTCTCACATCTTATTTCATAAGGAAAGTGACTTGCCACTGTGTTTTGAATATAATATTGATATATTTGTATCTTATTTGTTTCCTCTATATTTGTATGCTAAAGCTTTATGGTATCATTGTGTCTGAATTCACAATGAGGGAAACAGATTCCCTGGTCAGGGTAACGCTATGGAGAAGGACCTTTGACTGCTGTGATGGTAGCAAGCTTGCCAAAGGCCTTAAGCGAAGCCGCTGAGCATTCCCATAATGCCTTACTGTGTCACATTTGACTGAGTAAGTGAGTGTGTGAGAGACTACTTACTGGCTTCTTTTAGGAAAAGCTATAAGGAAACAGTATGCCAGAAACTATGTCCTAAAACAAGTTGTGTTTTCCTGTAGGCATTATATTATACTAGGAGACCCCACGCCACGGATCCTCTTTCTTTCTTTTTGGATTTATTTACTTTTAATCTATGAGTGTCTTGCTATGTATATGTGTGTACACTAGATGCATGCCTGGTGCCTGTGGAGGCCAGAAGCTACAGAAGGCTGTGGGTCCTGGGTCCTCTGGAGGAGCAGCAAGTGCTCTTAACCGCTGAGACATCACTCCAGCTGCCCCCACCCAAATGAGGTTTCTGCATACAAATTTAATTGTATGTGATTTTTGTGACAACAAACCTCCCCCCCTACCCCCACACACAGAATAGAATACTTACTTGCTTGAAAGTGTCACCAACAAGCAAAACTATAGCTGTAAGTTTTGGAGAATGATCGTCTTCCAGTCTTCCAGACTAGGTATAGTTAAAAAAAAAAAAAATCTGTATTTCTTCTCTTCTGCATGTGTATATGTGTGTAGGCATGTGTGCCCGTGTGCATGTGTGAGAAGGAGGAGAGAACATGTGGTAGAGCACACAGCAGAGGAACCTAAATGAATAAAGGAAATATATCTGTTTTAGTGTCAGTGTATATGTGTATGGACATGTGTATGTGTTTTTGTCTTTTAACAAAATCTCAAACATTCCATTTTCCCAATAAAGACTCGGGAGCCAGATGCTGGGTGAAAGCCTGCTAGCTCAGCTGACATCCCAAAAGAAAGTTCTCCTTTTCCACCCCTCAAACACAATGTCACACTCTTCTACTTCCTGTCTGTCTATCTGTCCTCCTAACTTCCTCTCCCTCTCTGTTTTTTGCCTGTGTTCATTCCCCGTCAACTGGCTGCCTGCTCCACCTCTTGACCTATGGTTGTCTTTATTTAATCCTTTTTACAGAAAGCTCTTAGATTGAAAGTGTGTGCTAGGGCAGAGTCACCCTACAGCTAAAACCAGGTTTTTCTAGCAAACAACACAGTCTTGAGGTTCACAGTGTGATCAAATATCCTGCAACTGTATTTTTTTTTTCTCCATAGGCCAGGGGACTTTCCTTTAGGAGATGGGGAATGGGGATGGGGCATCTTGAGAGTGAAAGAGTGAGAGCTAATAGTGGAAGCAGAAGTGTTATCAGAGTTGGACAGGTGGAGACCTGAGGGAGCTTCTGTCTGACTGTGAGGTTGGAGGTGAAGCTGTTGATGAGGTTGGAAGCTGGAGGAGACTAGGAAAAACATGGGCATCTTTACAGATGGAATGGAATGAGTGCAGATTTAACATTAACGAAGGGTCCAGGGATTTAAGATCACAGTTTCTTATGGATAAGGAATTACTTTAGAAGCATTACCTGTATTACAGATTGATTCTCTAAACCAATAACTCTACTGTATCTTTTAAACCCTGCATAATACAAATTCTATCTATCTATCTGTATATAATGTAAATTGTGTATATAAAATCCTCTTGTGGAACTAATTACAAAGCATTCTTCTGAGAAAAATCTCTAAGTTATTTGAAATATTTAGTCATTCCTTGTGTGTAAGTTGTCTAGTGCGTGCATATTCATAGCAGACTTTATAAATGTGGCTCTAGTGAGGAAGCAGAGGCCAGAACTTGCCGCCTGTCGTCTTGCATTTGCTCTCATTTATGCTCAAGGGATTTTCCTTAGGAAAGTACACTGTCTTGATACTGAAGGTGATTATGCAAACAAGTTGCTCAGTAACAGCTTGGCTCAGTGGGGAGAAGCCACGCAATGATCCTGTATTCGTTGCATAAGTGTGAACTCACAGTAAGACTGAAGAAGAATTGTGTAACTTAGCGAACAAGTACTTGTGCGACTAAGCCCTCTGTCTTTGAGTTGAAATACATTTTAAAAACTGAGGAAAATGAATTTTATTGGAAGTTGTTGATATATCATAGTAAAAGGACCGTTTTGTGTTTAAACATGTAAGATCATTGTGGAATCTACCAGGCAATTATAGTTAGCTTGCAGGCTGCTCCTGTAAAACTCTATCTCATTTGAGTTACCAAGACTGGAGTTTCAGATTTGGTTTAAACTTCAGTCTCTCCTCTGTCTTTTTTTTTTTTCTTTCAGACAATGGCTTACTTTGTAGCCTAGACTGATCTTGAACTCATGTTCCTCCTGCTTCTAGAGTGCTGGGGATTACAGTTGTGTGACCACAGGGTCTGGTCTTGTTAAATTTCAGTCCTTTAAATTAAAGGAAGATAAATTACAGTTGCTAGACACATCAAAGGAATGATGCCTTGACCCAGAATATTGCCCCCCAAACAGCAGTTAAATTTGGAATCCATTTATGTATTTGAGACAAAGTCTCACACAGTTCAGGCTGGTCTGGAGCCAGCCTATTTAACATTCCAAAGGGGACCTGGCCTCCAGGTTCGCCCAGCGTCCATCAGTCTCTGCCTGTTCCAGGGCATGGCTGGCACACCCCACCTTCTACCCTGAACTTTCTAGCCCAGGGTTGGGCTTCCTCTCCCCCGGAGGCTCTTCGCTATATAATGGAGACATTTTTGGTTCTCTTTGCCGGCCTCTGTGTCCTCCTGTGAGGTTATTCATCCTTCCCAAGAGCTGCCCCCAGTAAACCTGCCTTTGTACTTTAATTTGGCTTGAATTGGTTTATTTCGTCACAGGAGAAAAACATATCACA